GCCCATCTCATTCCACCCCCTGGCACAGGCAGGGACACTGGCCCAGGTTGCTCCAAGCCTTGTCCAACCTGGCCTTGGACACTTCCAGAGATGGAGCAGCCACAACTTCTCTGGGCAACCTGTGCCAGGGCCTCACCAAACTCGGAGTAAAGAATTGCCTCATAAAGTTTAATCTAAATCTATCTCAGTTTAGAACAGTTCCACCTTATCCTGACACTGCCTACCCGTGTAAAAATCACTCTCCCTCCTTTTTGTAAGGCCCCTTTAAGGACCAGAAGGATGTTTGAGATGCTCTGAATGCTCAGGAATCCCTGGGATGGTTTGTACCATCATAAAATACCCCCAGCACTGAGCTGGGGAGAGTTCTGCTGGGTGGACCAAAGGAGAAAATTCCCATTTTTGTCTCCTTGGGAAGCCAAGCTGCGTCAGGTTTTAGCTCTGATTTCTTGCCCCCGAACCTCCCCAAAGTCCAGGTCTGTCCATCCACTGGACAGTGATGATGGAGAGGGAGACACCAACACACCCGGAGACTTTACAAGGGATGGGCTGGACGTGGGGAACTCACCCAGTGTGGGGAGGCAGGAAAATTCCTTCCCTGGCAGAGGATTTACCACACTTGTTCTTAGATAGAGTCTTTTCAGTGGGTATTTTCCATTTCAAGGCCAAAAGGAACTTTCCACACCAGTTCTGGTGCAGGGGGGACACGGGGAACTTGTGGCCCCACTCAATGTAGCGACTGAACTCCTCTATTTAAATTAAAGTTGTGGATGCCCCACACAGAACAGCCTCATCCACCATCCCCACACACTGTCCTTGCCCTCCTTCCCCAGAGAAGGTGGCTGCAACCAGGTTGTTTTTTCCTGGTTATCCGGGAAAATCCAGAATATGACGATATTCTGCAGGTGACAAAGTGTTTAAAAGCAGGTGAGTGGATGAGCTGCTCCCACAGAGCGATGGGACTGAGGAGAAACACCTGCCAGAGAGACTTCTCTAAATCTGTTGAGACACCTGAGAATCCAAAAGAGGCGGAAAGTAGCAACTAATCCTCTTGTCTCCCTCAGCTCATTTTCCAAACGTCCTGGCAACAGAGGATTTCTGTTGTTCCACACGTAGGTGGATATGAACTGCTGGATTTGGGAACAGGAGATTTTTAACTGAACAAAGGATATCAGAAAGGAACACGTGGCTCCTTTCTGGATGTGATTTTCTGTGGTAGTTTTGATGGAATGACCTTTGAGAATGTTGTGGGGGTTTTCTTCTGATCTGGGAGGTGTTTCTGACACTTTCTCTTATTGTGCCATCAGGATTTTTGAAACCCTTCCATCATTTAAGGCTGAGTCAAACAGTCTGGGCCAGGAGAGCAGATCCCAAATTGAAACAGGTCAGAACATGACACGAGGGGCTGGCAGGACCTCAGAACCCTGAGGGATGGACCAGAAATGCAGCCAGAGCCGTGGAAGGTGTTGGTGCCCATGTTCATGAGGCTGCAGAGGCACTGGGGGTGACCCAGCTCCTGCTGAAGTGCTGAGAAACCCAGGAAAGCCTCAAACCAGCCCAGCTGGCTCTGGAGAGGGGACATTCCCCCAGGCCAGGTCCCACATGTCACTGCTGTGCCCCCTTTCCCACTTCTCATCAGTCTCAGGTCTCTGCTGCAGCAGCTCCTCAGTGTCCTTCACCCTCCTCTGTCCTGTTTCCACCTCCACAGGCTTTTCTGGGTCTGGCATTCCCAAATCATGGATTTGTTCCATGACTGCCCAGCTGGAGGGAGGACACAGAGGCTGGAGAGGCATTTGCTGTCGGGGTCCAGTGCTGTGACCCCAAGGAAGGGACAGGGTCCCCTCCTGTCCCTGCTCACCCTGCATCTCCCAGGGTTTCTACAGCAGCTGGACCCAAACTAGCAGACAAATCCAGTGTTCCACAAGCACTGATTTGAAAAACGGGTCAGCAAAAGAAGCAGAGAAAGTTTTGTTTTCTGTGTTAACAGAATTTTAAACCCCGATCCTCGGAGGATCAGGAATACAGGGCTCCCTGCCTTAGAAACCCTGTTCTTCTGCTCCATTAAAAATGGAGATGAAGCAGTTCCTGCTCCTGGATCAGCTCATGCTCAAATAAAGTCACAGACTTGGACAGAGGGACAGAAAGCAGGAAGATGCTGCAGCAGCAAAGTTAGAGATGAACAACAGAACAGAGTGTGCTGCCCCACTAAGCCGTGGGTGTTCATAAAGGTCCCAAAAACATCCCCGAGCTGGAAATCCTGAGGCACAAACAGCTCCTGGTGTTCCCTGCATGGCTGGGATTCAGACCCGGAACGATGTATGGCAGCTCATAAATCAATCCCGGCAACGCTTTGCCTTTCTCTGGAGGCACCTAAAGCTCAGCTTAACAAAGCTCCTCTTCATCACCGGCACGAGTCCAGCTCCGAACGGCTCCGCGCGATCCATCGCCCGAATTCCAGCCGATATCACCCGAATTCCAGC